AGGAATTTGCCAAACACCTTTCCTATACTTTCGCTCCTCATCCAGAATCCCATCCCAGCCACACAGTAAAAGTAGAAGAATCCCTCTCAATACCTATCCCACTCTCCTTACCACCTAAAGCTGTTAATCCCTCTGAGGTCAAATACCTTTTACGGAAAATCACACCTCGCAAATCTCCTGGATATGACCTTCTAACCCCACAGATCCTTCGACAACTTCCATCTAAAGCCATCACATTTCTTACATATATATACAATTGCATCCTACGAACTACCCACTTCCCTCTTTTATGGAAACATTCCACCATCGTCCTCTTCTTGAAACCAGGCAAACCTTCCAACAATACAGCATCCTATAGACCAATTAGCCTACTCCCAATCCTCTCAAAAATTTTTGAAAAGATCCTACTGAAACGAATCCTACCTATAATTGAATCCTATAACCTTCCTACTCATCAATTCGGATTTCGTTCCCAACATTCCACTGTCCAGCAAGGACTCCGAGTTGTTGACCATATATCCTCAACCCTAGAAAGCAAGCAGTATTGCTCGGGTGCATTTCTGGACATAGCGCAAGCTTTTGACCGGGTATGGCACGCCGGATTACTCTTCAAGCTTAAAATCCATCTACCACAGTCCTTATACCTAGTACTCCGATCCTATCTTTCCGACCGCTCCTTCCGAGTTCGCTGTGGCACCGAATTCTCCGACTGTTACTCAATTGAGGCTGGCGTTCCTCTAGGCAGCGTCTTGGGCCCCATCCTTTACATTCTCTTTACCGCTGATATTCCTGTCCATCCCGATACCCTCCTGGCAACTTTCGCTGATGACACTGCTATCCTTTCTTCCAACTCAGATCCTGAAACAGCGTCCGCAAACTTACAAAGGCACCTCTTCCTGATTGAACACTGGTTGAACACGATCTGAGACGAGTTCCGACCACCAAGCGATATCCTTCAGGCTGGTGGAAAATTCAGAAAGTTCCCACGGTACTGCCAAGGGTTATCTAACCCGAAGGGCAGATTGGAATGCCTTCCGGTCGACGCTGGAGGGAAAATTGGTAGATGATGAATGGGATAAAGCGGAAATAGAACAGACTGATGACCTGGATTACAGGGTGTCTAGGATCACTAATATTGTCTGTGATGCCGCTGAGGAATCCCTTCAGCACCGGAAGGCGAAAGCTCGACCTGTCCCATGGTGGACGCCGGCCTTAACAAACCTTAAGAGAGAGCTCTACAAGGCACGGCGGTTGTATCAGAGGTGTAGTTGCGACGAGAGGCGCTCTACACTCCGTGATCAGTACAAGTCCAAGGCCCGGGTGTACCGAAACGAGGTGCGTTCACAGAAGAAAAAGTCCTGGGATGAGTTCATTGTTGAAGAGTCCACGAAGAATCCCTGGGGTATTCCTTATAGGGTAGCCATGGGGAAATTTAGTACGCAGCAAACATTGGCAGCCCTCAAGCACGGAGACGTTCAGGCAACCAACTTCGAGGAGGCAGCCGAAATCTTCATTGCGAGGACGTACCCCAGGGATGATCCGTCTCAAGACAGCGATGAGGAAAACTTCGTGAGACGCACCACGGCATATCCACCGGATACGGACTTGTGCCCACGATGGGACATATATGATTTCCGTATTGCTGTGGATAAGCAGAAAATCGGTCGTGCTCCAGGACTCGATGCTATAGATGCGGCGATCCTAAAGAGTAGTATTCCCTACATTGATGAGAGACTTTTGGGAATATATAATGATTGTCTGGAGAGGGGATACTTTCCCAAAACCTGGAAGATCGCCGATTTGAGACTCCTCTACAAGGGAGGGAATAGGGATAAACAGCTCCCCAAGTCCTATAGACCAATATGCCTCCTCCCTGTGATGAGCAAGGTCCTGGAGAACCTTATCATGACCAGTCTAGCACCAGTTCTTGCCAGAGCAAGTCATCCACGGCAATACGGCTCCACTAAGGGGAAGGGAACCGCTGATGCCCTGCTGAGAGTACGTGAAGACGTTGAACTGAGGACGGAGCGGTATGTCATGTTGATGCTATTCGACATATCCTCCGCCTTCGACAGCGTCTGGTGGCCTCTTGTGCTCCAGCAGCTGCAGAAATATGATGCTCCCAGTAACTTATATGCCTTGATAAGAAGCTACTTACAGGATAGACGTGTTAAGGTTCGTGGCAGTTCTTATGAGACTGAAGCTTTCATAGAGAGGGGATGTCCTCAAGGATCGGTACTTGGTCCAGCTTTATGGAAGCTCGTTTTTGATGAGTTATTGGGAGTGTTAGAAGAACAGCGGTTCCCTGCCACTGGATACGTTGACGATTTGGCAGTAGTGGTGGCCTCCAATAGCATAGCCGGCTTAAGACAAGAAGCGGAACGATGCGCCAACTTGGTCGGAGAATGGTGCGAGAGGAAAAAGTTATCAATGGCCGCTTCAAAGACTCATACAATTGTCATGAAAGGGAAAACTGACAGGGCTCACCCTATTAACATAACGGTTCAAGGTTCGAGAATACGTCCAAGTGAGGTGGTCACTTATCTAGGCGTAAAATTTGGGAAAAAATTCAGCGTTACCCCTCACTTGGACTATCTTAAAAACAGGGTGGCCCTATCTTTGAACGGTCTCAGTCGGGTTGGGGGCGCTTTCTGGGGCCTCAGATACCCAGCAACCTTAACAATTTATAAGGGAGTGATTCTGGGTATCATGAGGTACGCGTCTCCCGCCTGGAACCAGAACCTCTCGCACCGACAGAAGAGTAAGTTGGCGACAATACAGCGAACGGCATTGTTGCGGGTCACCAGGTCGTATCGAAGCGTATCCCATGAGGCGGTGCAGGTATTAGCAGGAGGGGTACCTCTCGACCTTCTCCTGCGAGAAGATATGATGAGGCACATATTTAAGAAAAACGGCTCAGCAGGTCTACCGGAACATCTTAAGGTGAGAATTGACGAGAATCCTTGCAAATGGAAAAACATTATACGGGACGACACATTGGAGGAATGGAACCGGCGATGGGTGATAACCCCCAAAGGATCTACCTTGAGGAAGTACTTCCCCACCGTCCGGTCACGTTTAAAAGCAAGGTGGATCGTCCCAGACTATTGGATCTCGCAATTTCTCACAGGCCATGGGGGCTTTCGAGCAAAGCTTCATTGCCATGGGATGGACATCGACCCCCTATGCCCTAGCTGCGGTGTTCCGGAGACTGCTGAGCACATCATAGTGGACTGCACCGCCTTTGAAGAACTAAGGGCTAAGCTACTGAGGGAAACCGGTCTCTACATTCTCACAGAGAACGATTTTCCTCAGTTAGTCACTGCGGAAAACTACCCGTACTACAAAGATTTTGTGTACGGGTGGAAAGTCGCGGTGGGGCCAGCCCATTTTAATTTAAGAAGAGGAGGAAGAGGTACTATACCATTGGCGTGAAACGGATGAGGAAAGCACCCACGAAGAAAGAGGAAAAAATGAAGAAAGAGCAGAAGAACGAGATTCATTTGCAGCAGTGAGATGTTGAGCTGACCTGCCTAACATCTTACTGTTGCAGACACCCGTATTGCCTACTAGGCACGGCAGGGTTGATAAATAAATAATGATTGAACACTGGTGTAAGAAATGGCGCATTAAGGTAAACGAATCTAAATGTAAACACATTACCTTCACCCTTCGGCGTAATACCTGCCCACCAGTTTATTTTAACTCCATCCAGCTTCCTTTCTCAGATACAGTCCGGTATCTTGGCTTTCTCTTAGACAGACCACTAACATGGAATCCACATACTCGACTTAAAAGACAGGAACTTAACAGACGATATGGCCAGCTATATAGACTACTGAATAGAAAATCTAAACTTTCTGGTGAAAACAAATTACTGATCTACAAGACAATACTGAAACCCATCTGGACTTACGGACTAGAACTATGGGGAACAGCCAAATTTTCTAACATCAAACGCATTCAATCCTTTCAGTCTAAAGTCCTCCGTACAATAGTCAATGCTCCCTTCTATGTAACCAATAAAACCCTACATCATGACCTTAATATCCCATTTATTCTTGATCTTATCCCAGCCAAATTTTCCAAATTTCACCAGAACCTTTCTCATCACCCAAATCCCGTTGTACAATCCCTATCAAGCACCACCCATCCCTACAATCCCCTTCGTAGGTTAAAGCGGCAGTGGCCACGAGACCTTTTGTAAATATGGATATTTTGGAGTTCTAGCAATGGCCAGATTCTCCACTCAAGTCATGAGTGTCTGTGGCTGTAGCGCTCTTACTCATCCTCCGCTGGTTTAAATACCAGTGAGGTGGCTGAGGGAGAAGCATAGGGATCTCCTAGGCCTCCCTTTTCCCTCCACATGTGGAGGGGACAGGATTGGTTCGGAGATCACCTGGCAAATTGTAAATAATGTATGTTTTATATAAGGTGTTTGTTTTACTTTTATTTCTATTTTTATTTACTTATGTGTATATATATTATTTTTTTTCTTTACTCTTTTGTTCTTTCTTCTTATTCTTTTGTTATTACTTTATTTATTTATATTTTTGTATATACGGTATGAATGCAATCTCTGAACTCTATTATAAGTGTCCTTAACTGTGACAAATTGTAATATTTCTGAATAAAGTGTTTTAATAATAATCAATCAAACATAGCAATTGTATATAAGGCAGATTATTGAACGAATAAAGCAGTGTTTATTCAGAAGCCGTGAGTATTGTTTCTCGTTCCTCTTTCCTTCTTTTTTTTTATTTACAAAGCCCGGAGACGCTTAACTTTTATATATATATATATATATATATATATATATATATATATATATATAAGTTAAGCGTCGGCGGACTTTAAAAATAAAAAAAAAAGGAAAAAGGATCGAGAAACAACACTCACGGCTTCTGAATAAACACTAATGATATTTAAATAAAATTTATATCTTTGTAACCATAAGGTGTTAATTGTTTTTATAATCTTTCTATTACAGTGATATTTACTTGACAGCTATGTTGACTGTATAGGGGACCACCTTGGCTCCCAACTCCTTCACCATCTCTGCTGTCGTTTTGTTGTTGGCTTCGTTTATGTCAGCACAGGCGATGACAGCTCCCTCTCTCGCCAATGCCAGGCAGAATTCCCGTCCTAGCCCGCGGCCTGATCCAGTCACCTAAGGCAGTGGTCGGCAAACTTATTAGCCAACGAGCCATATGAACATTACAACAATTTAAAAAAAAAAATGGTAGCCAAATCTGCTTGTTTAGTAAACTTTTATTACACTAAATAAAACTAAATTTCATACTTAATAAATATATATTAATGCGAACAATGTGCTTGCATCTCCTTGGAAAGTTTGAGTAAGTCAGGTTTGTATATTGTTGTTTTTAATTTTAGGCACCTATCCTTCCATAATAAACTTCAGAATCATCCCAACCCTCTCGTTTCTAACCTTGCTTCCTCTTCAATTCCTGATAACCCTCCGAGGTGTCTGAAAAGAAGATGGCCCCGTGATCTCCTAATGTAGTCATATCATTAGAGTGCTACCATTAGGTAGTTACTCAGCAAGTGTATTCATGTAATTATATCAATTATGACCAAATTTGCTTGATGTATTTATGTAATACAGTTGTAAATGTCATAAAGAAATTGAAAAGAAAAAAAACAAAATTTAGGCATGATTCCAAGTTCTCATTAATAAGACGACCTCTCAGTTTACTCTTGATAATGCTTCATTATTCAAACCACATTTTTAAAAAATAAAATTTTATTAATATATGATCCGTTCAGTGCACACATTGATTAACTCCATTTTTTGAAACATCTTAAATTTAAGTGTTAAAGCATTTGATATAGACATATTTTTTTATATTTATAATAGTTTAAGATTTTTCAAAAAATGGAGTTAATGTGTGCACTGAACGGCACATAGGTACTGCACTAAAAAGAAAAAAAAAAATTCATATCAGAATAACAAAACTTTTAATATGACCAAATGTAGAAGAAAACTTCCAACATTTGGATCAATAGAAGTTATTGAAAAATCGATTACGAATTTCGTACCGGAACCACAAACAGACATAGAGGTATAATAAAATCGTATAAATATACCTGTAAGATGTGCAACTAGATTAAAAAAATACAACAACTTTTTAATAAGACAGAACAATGGCAGACACGATAGATAAGACAAAACTGTTCACACTGCAACTGCTGGTCTGCGATGCCAATTTGTAGCTTCAGAAAAAGTATGTGCATACGAACAATTTCAGCCGGTAGCTTGTTCATGGTTTGTATTTATGTTTACGAAAACTAATAAAATTAAACTCCATGTACGTTACGTATTTTTAAAACATAAAATTTTAATTACCTATCTTTCTTTTAACTTAAACCAAAAATTATACATGTTCTCGATTTATAAAAGAATTTCGATTTATCAAAATAAGATGTAATGATGTTTTTTACCGAGTTTTTTTTTTTTTAATGAAAATATTATTGCGCCTTCAGTGGCTATTTGTGCCAGAGCCGCAACTAAGGAGCCAGAGAGCCACATGCGGCTCTGGAGCCGCACTTTGCCGACCACTGACCTAGGGGAAGATAAAAGGTTAGTAACCCAGAGCTTTACAAAAAATACTCGCTGCAAGAGAAGCTGTTTTTTTTATTTTTTATATAAACAATATTCAAATTTGCTTCTAATTCGGCATATTGCTACTGCAAAAGGACGTATGTAGTACATTTTTTATGTCAATTCTATTTATGCTAAAGGTGACATTTTGTAGTTTGTATTTGCAATAATATTCTGCTACTATCGAAAATAGTGTAGGGAAATAAATTAGGAAATTACACTAATAAATCATAAAGAATGAAAGAAAAGAACATTCTTTATGATTTGTAAAAAGCCTCTTGATCACCGTTGTAAAAGTTGTCTGGTTGGAATGAACAGGTTTATTGTGGTTTTTGGGCTAATGGATTCAGGTTTTAAATCAACCTCAAGTGGAAGATTTTTACTTTCACTAACCTATATATCTATATATATAAAAATGAATGAATGTCTGTCTGTCCGTCTGTTTGTGCATTACTAAATCATTCAACCGATCGCCATGAAACTTTGGGAAGTTGTTCCGTACACTCATGGGAAGGTTTCTGGTTTAGTACTTCTGTCTTACGATAATTTTATATATGTAAAAAAAAAAAAAAAATGTAAATTTTTTCTGTTCAAAGCCGCAAAAAATGTGTCGCTATAAACTGTAGCGCCAAAACGGCTTTACCGATTTTAACGAAACTTGGCTAAAGTCTTGCCCTTGAAACCCGTATAATTTATGGGTATAACATACTTTCCCGAAAACAAGCTGAAAAATCTTACGATGAATTCAATATTTTATTTGACGATAACTAAAAAAGTACACAATTTTTTACTGATAATACCCACATTTATTTAAAAAATGTCTGAAAAAATAAAATAAAAAAATCATCGAAATCGGACGAGTCGTTGCAGAGTTATTGAGTTTTAAACATTTACTGCTTTCTCTTCAGAAAAGGCCGTTTCCTTTTGCTTGCTCACTACCGAACGTCGGCAAGCATTTTTTTTATCATTGATTAATCGAAAATTTTATAATTCCTACAGTAATTGAAATTATCATTTGAAGAAGTTATATGATTCTCTTTATGTAAGTCACACTGTTTCTGATGATTATGAATGACGACGTATTCACTCAGATGATTATGAATGTTCAATTTGAATCATGAGAAAAAAAACTCATTAAAATTAGTTTAAATTGAAGCCATTTTACAGACAAATTTGTTTCCCAACTTTTTAAAAATAGCAGATGTCCTTTGCTACTAATCTACTCATATTTGCTTTCTATTTTCTTTCTTTTTCATTTTGCCAGGCTAAGCCACAGCAGCGCGTGGCCGGGTAAAGCTAGTAAATATATATAGTAAGGGAAAGTATAGCGATCGTTAGGACAAGTTAGATACATTAAGCTGAATCGCTAACTAAGTTGAACTGGGAATCAACATTGATAAAATAATGGAAATCCACTTGTTCTAATGTAAAACATCGTAGAGTGATTCGCGATCTACTTGAGAAGTGTAATAACTAGTTAAAGCAAGAAGAACTGTAATTTTAAAAGATAATTTGCCGATAGAAGAAGATTTTCATAAGTGTCCTACTTGGGGTACATGGACCAGGGTGGTCAAGGTACAACATCTGCCATAATGCTCGAAGCTCAAGAAGTGGTTCAGGAAGAGACAGAAGCCATCACTACTCTATCCATATGTATAAGCAGAAGAAGTCAGTCCATCGATGGGAAACTTAAGATTCCCACATCATGACTAATGACCCAAGATTTCAATCAAGATACAAGATTTACACCTATATCAATACTTCAAAATCATCAATCCATTAAGTACATTTAAATTCCTGCAAACACATAAAACTCAATGGATCGATCCATTGGAATCACCCAGACCATGTTGCTAGATAATTTAGATTTTTATACCAGTTTGTCCATATTTATTTGAAATTTAAAAATACAGTTAAAAAAATTGTCACTGCAGCGAAAACTTATGTACCTAGCATAGAATTTGTGTAATGATGAACTAAAATTCAATTCAATGCCTCAATCACTTTCCTCTTTTTTTTAGGTGATGTATTGATAAACAGAAATGTAGAAAAAATACTCTAAATTATTTCAGTTTTTATTTTGGTTTTATATGAAAAAAATAACCAGAGTTACAAGCATTTTCCCAAAACATGTTTTCATTTGAAAAGTAAATTAAAAATGGCCGCCGAGAAAAATTGTGAGCCTTAAATTTTTTTTAGCTATGATTTTCAACTCTTAACTAGTGTTGCCCAAATGCGAGACCGAAACGAGTCCTGGTCATGGTCTTGGTCTTGCGCAAGAGTCTCGCAAAAGTTTTGCAGCTACTTATTACCTTATTGCTATAGAGATATTACTGTAATTTTTTAGATAGGAGAAACCTAACTAAGCCATAATGAAAAATTAGAGGAGTTAAATGCAAAAGTATATTGGTTATACCAATTATTAACATATAGGAACTAAGATTGTCAAGTATTAGTAACTATTTTTCCTTAATTTTTATTTAAAAAATCGATTTTTTTTTACCAGTCCTGGTCTTGGTCTTGCAACAGTTAGGCTGCCTTGGTCTTGGTCTTACAAATTTCAAGACCAAGACCGATTTTGGGCAACACTACTCTCAACGAAATATGAAATAACTGGTAAAAAATAAAATAAAAATGTCGAGAAACAAAATTAATTCAAACTAGGTGATTTCAAATGTATTGAACCCAATGTAAATAATCTGGTACTCCCTATCAGCAACAATAATTTTACTTTTGTTTCTCGTATACTTTAATTAATTCGATATATTTATGTTAACTTTATTTTGATTCATTTACTAGACCTATTATGAACAAGCCTTCTGATCTATTTCAGCATCTAGGTTTTATTCCCTCCTACTTTGTGATAAGGGAAGACCTAATGGGCACAACAGTGATAATAATAATAATGATAAAAAGTTAAATATAAATAGTAAAAAATCAAGGACCTAAAATATCGATTTTTTTGCAGTAAATTCTTCTATTGTGTCTCTTTTTAAAAACATCTGCATCAATTAATACAAATTAAAAAAAAATACCTTGAATAACATTTTTTGCAACAAGATCTCATTTTAGACACGTAACTGATCCTTTGCAGTTATCAGAATGACAGAGAGGTTTTATTTTTACTTACAATAACTAATTAAGTAATTCACATTCATACCTTCTCCTGGCTTTGAGTATCATTTAGACCCAGAGAGTCCAGGACTGTTAGATTGTAAATAACTCACAATGAGTGATACTCACCAAGCACACCCTTCCTCTGAGTGACTTCGGTTCTGGCCTCAGGATCAGCCTACAAAGGAACGAACCGAAGGCTGCAGCTAACTCCCAGACAAGGAAGAAGAATATGTAAACCATATAGAAGGCTCTGTACAAGATTGGGTCTTCCTTTATCTTCCCTGGTCCCTTCAAGTCCCTTTTACTGGATGGCCCATTCTCCCATCCTTTCACCATAAATTGTTGTTTTTGTCCATCCACCATCTTGTTTTGCCTAAAAAGATGATTCAGATACTCTTAAAAGGAATTAATGGACCATTGTAGGTAAATACTCTCGCTAATCAGTTAAACTATCTGAATCAAAAAAGTTCAATATATAGTCGATACAATAAAAATAATAATAATTTTTAGATATCCCTTTTAAAAGTAAATCAAATGGATCAAACAATTCGGGTTAAAAATAATATCTAATTGAAGAAAAATCTATCACAAATATTAGGATATATGTCATAGATAATAAGCTTTTATTGTCGTTTTTTTTAATTAGTTTTCTTTTTTTAATTTTTTTAGAGTGTTACCACGCACAGAAAATGCTGTATGGAGTAAAATGGTTCTTAGTAGTCACCTTCAAGCTTTGAAAATCATTCTGAAAGTTATGAATTTCTAAAATAGATAAATATAATCTAAAACGATTCGATTTACTGTTTATTAAGTAAATTGATTTCAATGTTTTTATGCTTCGTCTTCTTTTAGAAATTTTTCACAATAACATTCGTAAAATAGGGACTGTGTCCCAGAATAAAGTTATTTTTCTATTTCTATTTCTATTTCAAATATATTCAATTGCTTTATTAACATTAAAATATATAATAGATTTACAGAAATCAAATTTTGATTATGAAAGTTGTTTTTTTTTATTTTACTTGCTTATTAAAATACTTATTTCAAAGATATTCCAAAAGATAAAAATAGCCTCAATAACAAAATCTAGCTATACAGAATAAAGTAACAAATAATTCAAACAGTTTAAATAAAAATTATTGATACATAGAAATAGAAAATATCTTTATTCTGGGACACAGTCCCTTGAGAATAACAAAATAGAACAAAATTAAAAGATTACATCCGGCCAAAATAAAATCAATCGAAAAAGTAAATAATGTAAAGAAAATATAAGGTAAACATTCTATATACAAAACATACGTCTTTTATTAGTTTATTGGAAAGATATAATGGCTATGAATGTAATACAGATAACTAAACGATAAATATTTCTTGTCAACTTCAATAAAAAAAAGAAGAAATTATGATTTTTGTTTCTTTCACCAATGCCTAAAAGAAAAAAAACTAAAATCATTAAATCTGTTTAAAGGACAATACAAGATTAAAATTTACGTAACTTACTTTCTTATCATGTAAAACAAAAATCAATTTTGACAGTTATGTAATAACAAAAGCAGTATGAATCATAAACAACCCGTCTCCAAAAATTGAATTACTTTCCTCTTCTTAAAAACTATGCAAACTAAAATAGAATTAGAAAAATCTTAGATCATAAACAATTACACTTGAGGTGGTCTGGTCCATTTTTCCCCCTAGTTGTCTATTTTGAAACTTTTCTCTCCGAAAATCCATATCTTCGTAAAAATGTGTCCCCCTCAAAAGTTCAGAATACCGTAAAAATGTGCCCCCCTCAAAAGTTCAGAATACCGTAAAAATGTGCCCTCCTCAAAAACTTTGATGGCGCAACTTGCGTCATCAACCCCCCCTTCTGGAGGCCACTGAAAAAAAGGGTTTAAAACGAAAAAAACTTTTACCCACTTATCATCAAATAAACAGTCGAATCAATTAAACTTATATCTATTAACTCTAGATTTGTATCTTCCTATTGTTTTCTTAGATCGCTGTACATTAATCGTTTACATTAATGTAATCTGTAGATTACATTACTCCGATTACATTACCCCGATTACAATACATATCTGTTGATTACAATACCCCGATTACATTAATCTACGTTACTGTAGATCGTTTACATTAATTGCATTCAGTATATCTTTGGATCTTTTACAGGTATAAAAACCTATGATATATATATATATATATATATATATATATATATATATATATATATATATATATATATATATATATATATATATATATATATATATATATTTGTCTATTGTATTATTCAGTATTTGTAACTTCGTTAAATTCTATCGTTGAGTGGCCATTTTGAAGATTACCTTCTCCTTCAGATGCGAAACTTAACCACATACCACATATAAGTCAAGATAAAAAAAGGAAACTTTATTTTCGCAAAACTCAAAACTTATACAATTTATGCTTGATTATATCCATGTTGAATGAAAAGTTCAGACAAAACGAAGAACAAATCATCGAAAACAATAAAGATATCACATATAAAATGAATTCAATCGTTCCAGTCAGGGGTATCTATCCCCTCCATGGCCGATGGTGCATAAACCTCCCCCCTCCCCTCCCAATAGATTTTATTCCTCTCTTGTTCTTGAAATCTGCGCCAAAGAAAGTAGAATTTAAATATTCTTACATTATATACAATGACACCTCCCGCGGTCTGTTCATTGAAACATTTCATTCTGAAAATCCATAACTACATCGAAATGTGCTCCCCGTAAAAATTGAAAACCGTTTCAAAAAATGCTCCCTCCCTCATAAATTTTGATGGCGCCATCAAACCCCCTTCTGGGCAGCCCTCGTTCCAGTCATCTAAAGTTCTTCGGAATATTGTAGACGGAACCTAAGTTTACGTTACACACTGGCCATGACATTTCTTAAATCACTGCAACTGCCACAGACCGTTTTAATAATTTGTATCACAGACTTATTCTAAATTCAAATTCATTAACACTATAAACTGCCAATAATCTATATGATACATCCAGAAGATTGATTATGCGCTGTTCAAGGGAATTACTGCATTGAGATATTTTTTATGTTATCTTATGCTTTTATGTTATTTTATTTAATTATTTACTTTTTACTGTCCTCTTTGATACATATATATCCCTTGATATTATATTTGCTTAACACAGGAGTAGATTGTAAATCAATCATGTCACAAATATGTGTATCTTATAAATTAAAGAAATCACTGACCAATATGCTATAAGAATTGTTTGCAAGGATTAACCAGTACATTTAAATATTTTTTATAAATTAATTTTCTCCACACATATCATTACAGTAAGGCTCGAAATTGGTTTTATACCAAATATAAGCTCCTGTCATGCTCAAATACCATGAATGGGGTACCATTGGATTCAGAATTTCACAGGGGATTAGCGAATCTTATTCTCCACTTTTGCTTTTCTTTCTAAAATAAATAAAGTCGACTCAAACATTTTGCTAGGCTTCAATACCGAAACAGTGGTAAGTCTGTATATCGATACGGGACAAATTGGGATTTGAAGATTTTGATGCATAAAGCAAGAAGTTCCGAAGGAACTATCCGGACGTTTTTAAACCCCAAAACTTACTATTTTCGAGATAACGCAAGGCATAGGGTTCGCATCCACACAACCCTAAGTTAATTGTAGTACTGTCATTGAATACATGTCTCATTTCGTCGACTTGAGGCCTCTATGATCGAGAGAGGAGAAGATTATAGTATTTATGGATGGTTTTTTTTATCGGCAAGCCATATCATCTTTAATTCTTCACCAAATCCCAAGATTGAGTCTCCAATTTTGAAGGCTTCCTTCTCTTTCAGTCGTGAAAAATATTGCTATCAACCAAAAAAATCAGGCAAACAAGTTATGCAAGAAAAGAAACTTTATTTGCGAATAACTAAAAAATTACACTCTTTTCCCTGGATTATGCCTATAATTATATAAAAGATTACTAAATTCTCTACAAGAGGAAAAAAAATCTTCGAAATCGGACAATTTTAAGCAAAGATACAGCTTATTAAAATTTGTAAACAGGTTAGTTCCAAACATTAAAGAAGTTTTAAAGTAATTTTTGTTGCCTTTGTCGATTATATTTATCGATAAAGTAACAATCGATTTCTTTATCTTATGATGCGTTGAATTATTTGATTTTCTTATTAATTTGGCATTTGATCAGTTAACAATATGCTGTGCGAATTCTTCGCACGGGCCTACTCGTTTTAAAAAAATGATTACATATTTCTATTTAAAAAAAACCAAAAAAAAAACAGGTTTTCGTGCAATTACATCGTTTTTTTCCTGCTAGTTCCAATTTCATCCAGATCAATTGGAATCGTGAAGAGGACAGATTGCATCCAGTTTTATTTCGCACGAAATTGCAAGTATTGATTGATGTTGCAACACGAATGTACACATTTTGAAGGTTTTCTACACGAAGTCGTAATTTATTTATTTTTATTGTTTTAAATATATTATAACAGATTCTATTAAATATATTCTTTCATCATTATTAGCAGATTATGAATATATGTTATTCAAAATTGGATGTCTCGCATACGCAGACGACGTTGTCCTTTTATCAGAAACTGAAGAAGAGGCGATTGCCTAAATAAACACACTCTCGGAAATAGCGAGGAAAACAGGCTTACAGATATCTTTTGAGAAGACGGAATTGATGACCACCGACGCGAATTTTAAGAAGAAAACAATTGAAACCAAATACGGAACGATTAAATTAACTCAGAGATTTAAATACCTTGGATAAATCATATGCAGCAATGGGTCTGAGGGAGAAGGGTTTAAGGAAAGAATCGCCAAAACAGAGAAATTAAGCTTCACCCCCAGTGAGCTTTTTAAAAAGAAGACTTTGTCTCTAAAAGCCAGAATACGACATTATAACACGGTCGTCAAGCCATTGTTACTCTACGCAACAGAAACTTCTTGTCTTCCCAGCCTAGATTTCCTTCTGAAAATAGAAAGAAGAATTCTCAGAAGAATCTACGGGCCTAGGAGAACACCTGAAGGATACAGGTTGAGGTCAAATAAAGAAATATATAAGGAAACAACAGATCTAGAAACTGACGCTAGAGTGAGAAGGCTGACGTTCTATGGACATATGATGAGGATGAATCCTGAAAGACTTAACCATAAAATTGTTCAGCAAATCCACAGTCATAAAATTTTAAGCAGGTATTTTAAACAGATTAAGGATGTACCAGGAAGGCAAAGAAGCACTCCAAAAAGGGTGTTGCGTGGTCTGAGGAGAGAAAACGTAAGCACGCGACGCTCACGAGGAGCATATGGGAGAAGAGGAGGCAAATGAAGAGGAAGCATTAAA